TATTATTATTGATATTATTAGTATTACTATTATTATTATTATTAGTGTTACTATTCTTCTTATTGTTAGTAGTATTCTTCTTATTCTTATGTTTCATTATTATCTTTATTATTAGTATTCTTCTTATTATTCGTATTAGTATTCGTTTTATTCTTCTTATTCTTATTATTAGTCGTCTTAGTCTTCGTCTTCTTCTTATTCTGCTTCTTCTTATTACTATTCTTCTTAATCGTCTTCTTCTTCTTATTATTATTATTCTTATTATTATTATTCTTATTATTATTATTATTCGTCCTCTCCTCCTCCTCCTCTCCTCTCCCTCCTCCTCCTCCTCCTCCTCTCCCCTCCCCCCCCCCTTCCCCTCCCCTCCCCGCCCCCTCCCCCTCCCCTCCCCCTCCTCTCCCCCTCCTCACCCTCCCCTCCCCCTCCTCCCTCCCCCCTCCCCCTCCCCCCCCCCTCTCCTCCTCCTCCTCCTTCCTCCTCCTCCTCTCCTCCTCCTCCTCCGTCCTCCTCCTCCGCCTCCTCCTCCTCCTTCTTCCTCCTCCTCGTCCTCCTCCTCCTCTCCTCCTCCCCTCCTCTCTCCTCCTCTCCTCCTCTCCTCCTCCTCCTCCTCTCCTGCTCTCTCCTCCTCCCCCCCCCCTCCTCTCCTCCTCCTCCGCATCCCTCCCCTCCTCATCCTCTTCTTCTTCTTCTTCCTCCTCGCCCCTCCTTCCTCTCCTCTTCCTCCTCCTCCTCCTCCTCTCTCCTCTCCGCCTCCTCCTCCTCCTCCGCCTCCTCCTCCTCCTCCCACTCCTCCGCCTCCTCCTCCTCCTCCTCCTCTCCTCCTCCTCCTCCTCCTCCTCCTCTGCTCCTCCTCCTCCTCCTCCTCCTCCTCCTCCTCCTCCTCCTCCTCCTCCTCCTCCTCCTCTCGGGGCGGGCAGCCCAGGGGCGAGAAAGGGCCCGCCCTCGCACGCCCTGCCGAGGAGCCCGCGCTTCTGTCGGGGCCCCCGCACGGCGGTTGAACGTCGGCCTCGGCACACATGGGAAGGGACCTCTCAAGCTTTCGTCTGGCCTGCGCAGTGTCCATATACAGGAGGGCGTGCAGGCAGCTGCGGAGCTCGGACATGCAGAAGCAAGGTGCGGACGACGCTGCGAAGCCCTAGGAGAGCAGAGCATTGACAACGCGAGCACCAAATCTGCCGACACAGCCGGCGTGTGTGAAGTGTCTGTCCAGTCCCGTCGACGGGGGGCCTTCTTTCGCCCCCTCATTGCCATCCTCCCCTCCCGTCGGGGGAGAGAAAGAGAAAGAGAGAGAGAGAGAGAGAAAGAGAGAGAGAGAGAGAGCACCGTTCCTCGCTCGGGGAACGGTATCGCAGCTTGAAAAGATTCCATCCACGTCCTCACTACGTCAAAGGGAAGCCCCTTCCCTTTGTCCCTCCCTTCCCCGGCGGGGAGGCGTCCCCGGGGAGGTCAGATTCGCATCGCCTCTGGGGGTCCTCCTCTCCCACGCCGGTCCTTCTCCGGCGCGCCGGTCCTCTTCGGCTCCTCATCCCCAGGCGGGGAGGAGTCCTAGAGGGGTGGGGGAGTCAGATACGCATCCGTCCCTGGGGGTCCTCCTCCCCCTCCCCTCCCCTCTCCCACTCCGGTCCTCCTCCTCCTCCTCCCCAGGGGGGGGGGGGGGGCCCAGGGGGGAGTCCTTTCCCTCCTCCTTCTCCTCCTCCTCCTCCTCCTCATCCTCCTCCTTATCTCCGCCTCCTCCTTCTCCTCCTCCTTCTCCTCCTCCCCCTCCTGGTCGTCTTCGATGTCTTTCAGGGTCGGCGGCACCGGCCGTCAGGCCTTGCCAATCTGCAAGTCACCGCTTCGGGCCGAGCTGGCCCCCGAAGAGGGCGCCGACTCTGCACTGCCGCGCCCACAGCTGCGCACGACACTTCCGTGCAGGCGCGCGTCTGGCCGCCCGCCGTGCGTCCGTGTTGCCACGTCTCACGCTGCACTGCGCTTGCGTGCCACGCCCACGCACTCGCCTGTTCAACTGCGCCCGTGCGCCGTCAACGTTCCCTGCCTGTGCCCGGCGCCCCGAACACAGGTTTGACACTCCTGGCCCCTGGGGGAGGACGAGGCTCTCCGCTCCTTCAGCCCCGCACGCCTGCGGGGGGGGGAGTGTCAGCCTATTGGGGGGGGATGCACGGCCTGATGAGTCAAGCGGCGCTCAGCAAGGACGGCAAACAGAAGACTCATCGCACAGGGAAGTCACGCAACAGGAGGCTCCCTTGATGGTCTGGCGGACATTGTGGTGTGGCCCACGCAAACGGCTGGGGGCATGGTCGGCGTCCCTTGTTGAGCCCTCCTGGCACGAGCCATTTCCGTTCATCTCCACCGAATCACCAATGACTGCTGAACCAAAGATGAAGGGAGCATGAAACAAGAACACGGAAGACGATAAAGGGCTGGGGCGAATGTGAGAGGGCGGGAGGGTGTAGTGGGAAGGAGGGGGAAGAAGCTGCAGGCACCATCCAGGCCGTTCCTGCGAGTGCCGGTTCAGCAGCCCGAGCACCGCCTTGACGGTGTCCTCCCCGCGCAACTGCCGTGAAACGGAGCCATCCTGTTGGGAGGCGGAAGTTCGGGGTGCCATAAAAACACATTGCACACTGGCCTGGGATAGAAAATTAGTCTGGCGAAGGACCCAACCGCAGTTGTGAGTGTCTCAATTGTGAGCATCGTCTTCGGTGGAGCTCTCTAAGGGGCCACGAAACGTGGAAGAGGTGTGCCGAAATGGGTGCGGCGGACCGCATGAGAGCACTGCCACTGGGGCCTTCGGTTGAGCTCCCTATGGGACCAATGAGCGGGAGGGCGCATGAGGCCGCGGCCACTGGGGCCTTCTGTCTCCCTATGGGCCCACGAAGCGATGTACTGGGTCGGGAAGACGCATGCGAGCTGCGCCACTGGGGCCTTCGGTGGAGCTCCCCACGGGGCCACGAACCGTGTGATGGGCGTACCGACATGGGTACGGGACCGCATGCGAACTGCGCCACTGGGGCCTCTGGTGAAGCTCCCTATGGGGCCACGAAATGCGTGAGGGGTGTGCCGAAATGAATACAGGACCGCATGCAAACTGCACCACTGGGAAATGGGGTGGGCCTCCCAGTGGGGCCACGGAACGTGTGAGGGTTGTGCCGAAATGGGTGCGGGACAGCATGCGAACTGCGCCACTGGGACCTTCGGTAAATCTCCCTATATGGCCACGAAACGTTTGAGGGTTATGCCGAAATGGGTGCGAGGCCGCATGTGAACTGCGCCACTGGGGCCTTCGGTGGAGCCCCCTATGGGGCCGCAAAACGTTTGAGGGGTGTGCTAACCACGTGTGCAAAACCGTATGCGAACTGCGCCACTGTGCATGCGGCTGCGCCACTGGGGCCTTCGGTGGAGCTCCCCACGGGGCCACGAACCGTGTGATGGGCGTACCGACATGGGTACGGGACCGCATGCGAACTGCGCCACTGGGGCCTCTGGTGGAGCTCCCTATGGGGTCACGAAATGCGTGAGGGGTGTGCCTAAATGAATACAGAACCGCATGCAAACTGCGCCACTGGGAAATTCGGTGGGCCTCCCAGTGGGGCCACGGAACGTGTGAGGTTTGTGCCGAAGTGGGTGCGGGGCCGCATGCGAATTGCGCCACTGGAACCTTCGATGGATCTCTTTATATGGCCACGAAACGTGTAGAGGTGTGCTGAAATGGGTGCGAGGCCGCATGCGAACCCTGCCACTGGGACCTTCGGTGGAGCTCCCCATGGGGCCACGAAACGTGCACGGGGTGTGCCGAAATGTATGGGGCGGACGCATGCGGGCTGCGCCACTGAGACCTTCGGTGGAGTTCCATGTGGGGCCACGAAACATGTGAAGGGTGCGCCAACCATGTGTACGGGACCGCATGCGAACTGCGCCACTGGGACCTTCATTGGAGATCCCTACGAGGCCACGAAAGGTGTGAAGGGTGTGCTGAAATGGGTGCGGGGCCGCATGCGAACCCTGCTACTGGGACCTTCGGTGGAGCTCCCTATGGGGTCACGAATCGTGTGCGGGATGTACCGAACTGGTAGACTACTGCGGAGGGCAGAAGTAAGGAGAGGGAGGAGGGGGGAGGAGGAAGTAGGAAGGAGACGCGTGGCGCTGTCTTTTCAAAACGAGGACCCAACTCCCCAGGATAATTTGGAACAGAAAACAAAAATGCGTCATCTCGTCAGCCCCCCTGGACGCAGGCGGCTCGGCAAGTTAGTTTGTCCAGCCTCCTTCTTCCCCTTCGGGAAAGAGTGTACCTCTCCCCCTGCCTTTTCTCCATGTCTCCACTTGGGGGAAGGAGGGGGGGGGGGGGGGGGCGACCGACAGGCTATGGGCGCTACGAGGCCCGCACCTCTGATCATCTCCGGGGTGCGCCTGCCAGACTGGGTGGCAGGCAGGGCACAGACAGCGATAGGCCTTGACATCGCTTTGCAAAAGATGGGGGAAACAATATGTTAACAAAAAACGGGGGGCGAGGGTCCGTGGAGGGTCGAAGATGGCGCAAGATCGCTCCAAGATGGCCCTCATAGCCTGCCATGGCCTCAACGGCGGCACCAAAATGGTTCTGCATGGCTTCCAATGTGCTCCCAAGAGGCCCAACGACTGCCGCGAGACGACGCGACTCGGCCACAGAGCATCCCAAGAAGGCCCTCGCGGGGACCACACTCGGTCGCCCAAGAAGGCCCCGAAGCGGCCTGAGAGCGTCCAAGAGCGCCCCAAGAGGGCTCCAAGAGGCGACGCTTCGGGCTCCGACGGAGGCGCCGCATTTCAGTACCCTCCCTCTGTCAGCGATGGCCTCCAGCATCGCCCCGAGAGAGCCCCTGGGGCTTCACACACAAAATGCACAGCAGCACGATGCAACAGAAATCCGGCCGCGCCGCCAGAATTCCGGCGGCGCCTGCAGTTCGAGACGCGATGCGGCCGAAAAGGCCGCCGCCCAGGCTTCAGGAAAGCCCAGAATCGAGTCGGTAAATCGGATCGGCGATCGAAAAGAATCGGATCGGCGGAAATCGGCAGCCAGGTCGGGAGAAGTCGAATCTGCAGACATCGGCAGGCAAGCAGGCCTCCATTGAGAAATCGGATCCGAAATCGGAATCCCAAGTCGAATCGAATCGGAATCGGAAGCAATGGAAATCGAATCGAATCGAAACGAGCCCTCGGATTACGGCGGCGCCTGCAGTTCGAGACGCGATGCGGCCGAAGGGGCCGCCCGCCAGACTGGCGGCCTCGAGAAGCGGCCACCCGGGCCTCCCCAACAGAGGGCCCCGAGAAGGCCCCAAGAGAGCCCCAAAAGGGCTCCGGCATGGCCACAAGAGGGTCCCAAAGGCAGGGGAGCCCAGAATCGAAGCGATAAGCCGGATCGGCGATCGAAATGAATCGGATCGGCAGAAATCGGCAGCCGGGCCGGGAGAAGTCGAATCTGCAGGCATCGACAGGACCGTAAGCCTCCATTGAGAAATCGGATCCGAAGTCGGAATCCCAAGTCGAATCGAATCGGAATCGGAAGCAACCGAAATCGAATCGAATCGGAGGAATCGAAATGAGCCCTGCCAAGGTGGTCCAAATAAGCGACCAGGGTCCGCGAAGGCATTTACAGGTGACTCCTGGGCCTGCTCCAGCCGATCCCGACCTTCGATGTCACAGCTGCTTGCTCTTACATATCCCTGGTCAAGGCAACTCGCCTGGGCATCGTTTCTGGATCGGCTGGTGGGGACTCTTTTTTTGGTCGCAGCCGCAAGCGAAGGCGCAGGCGGCGTCAAAGGTCGACCCGGGCTACGGGCGGAACCTAATTACCCAGCGGCTGTCGAGGCTGCCGCCGAGGGAGGCTGAGTGGCGCCTGGGGCTGAAAGCTGGCTGCAGAAGCTGCCAGGAGAGCCAGGCGGCCAGCGTGCAGGCATCCCAGAGGCGAGACCACCGGGAACAAGACGAATTGCACCTTGTCGCGCCAGGCGACAGAGGTAGACGTGCCACCGAACGTGGCAAAGCGCGGGGCTGCGCAAGCAGTCCGGCGTACGAGGTGCATGTCAACAGGGACAAACTCACATGGCTAACCAAGAAGGCTGAACCAATCCTGCGCAATCCACGTAGGGGCGCGTCCCACCATGCAGACACGGCCAGGCTGTGGCGGTGTCTGGGGACCAGAGACCAAGGAAACGCAAGCATTCTAGCCAGAGCTGGCCAACGTGCAAGTCACCTGGACGCCAGGGTGCCTCACCAGGCACAACGGGGCCAAAATGAATACCACCGGGCGCAAAGGACAGACGGGGGCGGCGCAGCAGGCAGCTGAAGGCTGAGGTGACCTCCGGCCAGGGGCCCGCGGCGCGGCGCGTGAGTCAACTGACGTCACGAAGAGGAGGCCAGTTCACCAGGGAAACCAAGCCAGGCTGTGGCCAGGTCCAAGCGAAGGCTAAGGTGAAAACAGCTACGATCAACGACCGGGGCCGTGTGGCACGCCGCGCCCCGCCCCAGCAGGGGCCATCGCGCCCGGCATTGACTGCGCCGCGGAGCCCGATCCCCAAGGGCGGGGGGCAAAGCCAGGCGCAGCATCGGGACCATCACCGGTCGTCACGAAGCCCTCAGTCGAGGGAGCTGGGTCAAGCTGCAACCAGGTGCGGGGAAGGCCAGGGTGGACACAGCTACAGCGAACGGCGAGGCCGTGCGACGGCACGCTGCGCCCCGCCCCAGCAAGGGCATCGTGCCAGGTTTTGACAGCGCCAGCAGCCTGATCCTCAAAGGCGAGGGGCGAGCCAGGCGCTGTGCTGTGACCGAAACCGGTCGCAGGGGGAGGAGAGGAGGGGGGGGGGGGGCACCGCCAGGGAAGCAAGCGGCTAACGGCCACACAGTCACTTGGAAAGAAGGGAAGGGAGGGGAGAAGAGAAGCGCTGAACGTGAAGCCAGGAAATGGGGTGGCACTGAAGTGACTAACGGCCACACTTTCTGGTGCATGGTCGTTTCCGACGCGTTTAGCGACAGTGGCAGGGAGATAATGACCACTTGGATATCTTGCCGTCGTGCTCAGCACCGTCGCTGTTCCGCCTGCCTCTTGCCTCCGTCGTGCCAGTCATGGTCGTGCCAGGACTGCCCTGCACCGTGCTAGAACCATCCCTCCCATGAATCTCAGGGCCGGTGCTGGGAGTTAGAGCCCCACCCCTTCGACTGGTGAGAGCCCTTGCCAGAGGTCCCCCTGATGTGCCTTTCACGCATGGCCTGCCAGTCGACTTTAAGCTCCAGCTGCCGGCCCTCGCAGGCGTCGTAGCCGGATCTGCGCCAGGCGCCCGGGAAGCCCTTGCACGCGGCCTCGTCTTCCAGGCAGGGGTTGCTTCTGGACATCCCTTTGGCGCGATTGGGGAACTTCTGCGTGTAGCCGTGCCAGATTCCGTTGAACGTGCCTCCCAGAACCTTCTGGAGGCGCGCGATCGCGTCGGCCGGGGGCCCACCGTGGCGGCCCAGGCTGACGCTGCCCAGCTGCTCGCGATACATGTTTCCGCCTGTAGCTGGGTCATGGAGATGGTCGAAGGCCTTCCGCGCGCTGCTGCTGCGAGGGGG